TGCTGAATTACTAAAACAGTTTAAAGCTGCTGTGGGAGCTCTTTGGTACCCCTCAACCTGAATTCAACATACCGGTCCATAAAGGCGTACAGTCATGAGTACAGTACAGTGTCATGAGAAACACATTCAAATACATTTTTTTGCAGGATACACTTATCTCAGTTACTTGTGCTATTTAAGCAAACAGAAGGGCCGTGTCTGCAACCAAGGGAGGTGACTTTGCTACTCACTGAGACGACTTTCTTTCTCAAGTCTAAGTGGAAAAAATATATAAAGTGGTCATTAGTAAACCTGGGCTCCAGCATTTAGATACTGAAATGTGAGCAGTTATACAATGACATGGTGTAACACCCCCTCCAGACTTCTTCAGAGTTCAGCACCTTACGAGAGGGGAATTACATGAATATATAGACATAAAATATATAAATGCATGAATAAATGCATTTCTAATTGCAAAGATGCCCAAGCTGAAAATGTTTCATTATTAATAAAGTCATTCAGAGACAGGAGAAGAGATGATATTCTAACCTGCTGCAATGGTTTTGTTAACTTTGCTTTACTCCCAAATCTGCACCGAGACAGTTCTAGTTCAGGGACATCTCTTTAAATGTTGACCTAAGTGATCTCTTATCAAAAGTTGCTTTAAGTTTCCAGAAGGAAATGTTTAAGTTTACGGCATACCTCTGCAATCAAGAAGTCGACATTTTTCTGGACAAAGACATCAATCTGTTTAATGAAGATGGCCTTGACCTCCTCCTCGGTCTTGCCGCTGAGGTATGCCGGGGTCTGAGAGACTCCACCTGCCACCAGAGCGTCACCCTCATTGGCCACCTCTCTGGCCAGGTCACAAGCTGCTTCGTTTATTTGGCGTCCCTGTGGATGAAAGGAAATGTTTTTTAAAACCACTTATAAATCAGTTCAACTTTCATGTTTTGAGTGCGTTTAAACCCCTCTGCATGCTTGATGAGAGCTCAGAGCAGCTGCACATGAAAACAAACTCACGGTGAAGCTCAGAGTCTGGCCCCTGTTCTCTAGTTTGTCATCGCTTGCGTAGAAAGTGAACGTCTGCATGACATTGGAACCAGCTCTCAGGAACTCTCTGTGCAGCTGCCGCACTGCAAACACAACACCCCCCATTCAGCACTGACAAAACTGGAACTTCAACATTTAAGCTTTAAATGGAGAGCAAGCAGAGTCCTACCCGCTTCGGGGTGCTCGGCAGCAGCTTCAGGTGTCCACGGCCCGGCTTTTACATAACCTCTCTTCTCGAGCGCGAAGACAAAGCCTCCGTCCCCAATAACGACCTCTCCTGCATCCAGGCGCTTCAAAATGTTCTGCCGTGAAGTTAACACGCAAATCAAATCAAAACAACACACACAGAGCTGCACAACACCCATTTCATTGCATGAAGCGCGCACAAGCTGATTCAAGTTCAGAGCGCCCTTTACATTTTTTAATCATGCAACATGACGAGAAACATAATAAACAAAAACAAAATACAACGTGTGCAGCGCAATCATTATCCAGGACTGATCGGAGTGCACGCCTACCTTCTTTTCTCCCGCTGGTGCCATGATTACTGTAGCAGTGACCGCCTCACACTTCTCAGCAGCAGAGTCTTGAGTTTGGAAAAGGCTCGCTTACTGCACCCACGCTGCATTTATAATCCAAGATGGGTGTGTCGCTCCTGATGTCACCCGAATACCACCTCCCTCTTCCACTTCTGATCTCGTTGTTGGTGACGGCGCAGAATCCGTAAAATCTCGGCTCTGTGGAGAGGCGTTGTTTGATCACTTTTGCGGAATAAAAGTACAGCATCTAACCTTTATAGGAAGTTTGAAACCATTACCTATAAAAAAAAAAAAGTTTTCTAAAATGATTTTTCGCAGTGTTTGTGTAAGGACAGGTCAGGTCAGTGAACACACAGGGTCAGACAGCACTGCCTAATTTTTGTGTTTGTAGGTCAGTTATGCCTAAGAAAGAGCTGAATGAATTGTGTGTGTATGCTCACTGATGATGTTATGTCAATGGCAACTGGGAAAACAACGATGTGGTCACAAGGGAGCCACCAAGGGGGGCCAGGGGTGGCACTGCCCATCCCCCAAAATTTGCTGGCCCCTCCAGTGGCCTCCCCTGGCAAGGTTGTCCTATTTTGGTAATGATTCTAATAAACATGAGCACAAGAGAGAGGAAGACACCCCACAACGAGTTGAATGCCATTAATTTGTTATTTATTCCTGCTTAAAACAGATTGTTATGGATTTCAAAATCTTATTAGATTTGTAATATGTACCTGTTTTCAGTGATATCATCTTTGATAGCAGAAAATTAACTAGGCATATAATTCTTTTCTTTCTCCCTTTTTTTTGCCATATTTTTCAAGTAGCCTATATTTGACAACATCATAATAAGACTGGAAATTCTGTTTTTGGTTTGCCACCCTAATATTTTTAGTGGCCCCCATATGGCCACCCCTATGTAAAAATTCTGGAGGCACCCCTGGTGATTACACCTTACAAACCAGTAAGGTGTAGGTTGTTTGGGTGTGACAGGGCTGAATATAGACAACAGTGATGTAAACTGGGGTCAGATCCTCAGGTTCAGGTCTTTGGCTCAAGTCTTCATTTGCCACACAACTGCCATGGTAACTGAGACCCTGTTCACCTAGCATGCCATGTTTTTAGGGTCCTACACAGTTTTCTGTACTTGAATATGCAGTATTATATGAAAAGTCTAACTGTTTAGCAAAGTAATGAAAGAAGTATTTAAATCATTTACCTATGTAAAATAAGCAATACTCACATATTCACAGCAACCATCACCTCAAGGTGTTTATACTGCAAAGCACAGACCCTAGATTATTTGCGAGAAAAATGCCAACAGCCAGATTCCCCATGAGCAAGTGCTTGGAGATGGTGGGAAAGAAAAACTCAATTTTAACAAGAAGAGACATACAGAAGAAATGCTCAGGGCATCACAGTGGAAGTAAAGTAGCAGTCTTGAGCATGTGGCAGCATGATTAAGGGATAGTTCAGGGTCACATGACCCAGCCCTAATGAGAAACAATAAAACAATAAAGTTTAGTTCCAGTAAAGTAAACTTGTGGACAAATGATGGAAAAATAGATCCACATATATCTGGGAATTTTTGAAATTGGAAAATATTGTTCTGTAAAGACAGAGTTAACTGATATTAGGCCGTAAATGACCAAAGAGATGATACCATATGTGGGGGGTGTAGACTTAGGTGTGGAAGCTGGGTGGGGCTACTGCTCAGCTGCAGGAGGAGAGGAGGAGCAGTTGATTAAGGGACCAGCGATAGTGAGGTTCAAGAACAATAGAGCAAATGTCTGTAAAAGCAAGAAATTACTGTTCCATCAATATAAAGAAAAACAGTAAATTGAGGATATGGATCAGTTACCAAAGTTTCGGTACAGGTCTGCTATTTCATGGTGATTTCTAGCTCTGGTTGCTATGGGTCTGATGTTGCCTGAGGAGTTTTATCTGTGTATGTTTGCATGTAGTAGAGTGGAGCCATCATTCCAGATCCAAAAAATGAAAAAAAAAATAACAATGGGAGGCAGCAACTCAAAGGCTTTGTCACATTGACAACACTAAAATCTATATGAATCTCTTCAGTCATTCAGCAGAATGATGTGTAATTGCTGTGCAGTGTGTGTTGTTCGGCAATTAGTTGCTAAATTTAAGAGCACCCTCACTGAAAAGTTGACAAAACCTCAAATCACAGGAAAAAAAAGAAAATGTCAGGCGCTACCACTGCACTTGGGTTTTCCATTATTGTCTTTACAAAAGAACCTGACCATAAAATAAACCCACCAGACATGGAGTTGGAGACTGAGACGGTATTCTCCTGGAGACAATTCTCTGGGTTTCTCAAGCCTTTAATTAACTGCCCTGTGCTCTTCAAATACCTGGTCTTCTATCTTGTCTCACTTTCCCATGCTACATTTATGCCACTGATCCCACATGCCTAGCTTATCTGATTGGCTTGTCGAGAGGAGTTGCCTGAGACTGAGACTCAACAGTGTGGGAGGCACAACCAGAGGCCTGCTTCTCTCTTACCTTAACTCAGGAGATGCAGAAAGTATTTGGCTAACCTTTCTAAAAACATGTGACTAAACTCCATCTCACTCTCTGCCAGGGCAAAATTAGTGGCTGAAATGACAAAGTCTTCAAAGCCAACTATATGATTGACTGCTGCTTGTTTCCTTGCCTTACCCATACTCCCCTCAGTGAATCAGAATCTTGGTCAATCACATCTTCATTTTTCATGGGATTCCATCATATTCTGTCTCTATAAAATGCATCTTTCATCTCATAAGTCTGGAAGACATTGCATTTAGCCCTATGAGCCTCATACTGTACATTCTCTGTTCTGGTTACCATCCTCATTCCTAAAGCTAACCAGGAGATGAGGACTGCCCTCTGACAATCCTTCCACCTGGAGTTCTCAGCTGCCCTGCCAACTTAATGTCTCCTTAAGTATTTCTCCTTTTTTGTCCTTTCTTGGCTATCAATCTCCCTCTACAGGAGTAAGAATTAGCTGTTGCATCAGCTAAACCTGCAGACATACAGAGCACAGGAAATGAGCCTGCACTGCCCCCCTCATCTCCTCAAGATCCAGAATCAAGCTAACTGCTGTTATATGCCTGTCCCCAGTTACAGACCAAAAGGTGCACATTCAAAAAGGACCAAAAGAGACAATCAGTGCTCTCTTAGTTGTCCTTGTATTTTTTTTATTTTTTTTTAGGTCCTGTGATATGAAATCTGAGTTGTCCCTTGGAATTCACCCCAACAATTCCCACATCCGTGTAGTTTGTGTGTCCTTGTGAAGCAGAGCCACAGGAGGTGGCGGAGGCCATCAGCTTCTGCTGGGCTGCAACTTCTGCAGCCACAGCCATAAGTCTCTACCTCAGCAGACTGCCAGATTGTGTTTTACCACACTAATATCTTTTTTATTTATTCCTACTCATCAGCTCTTCTCTCTGAGCTCTGCTGCCTAGCCTTTCCTGCCTGATTATACTCTCTCCCCTGCCTGCAAAGTTTAAAAGAAAGAGATGAAATTATTACTTTTTTATATGTAAACAAAAGGCAACACATTTATTTAGTCACAAGCAAAACCAAAACTGCACAAATATTTTAGGTTAGTCTAGATCTCCATGGCACTCCTCTGGCAAACCAGCCCAGACTAACACAAGAGTCAACGAGGCCAAACAACCAGTGGAATGTTAATTCTGAGGGCGGCAGAGCAGACTTGTCATTATGAACTGAAGACAAAGCACACACAGGGAGAAATATATTTATATAATTTTCACTGTGTACAGATTACCATATAACATTTATTAAACACAAAAATTGCATGGATATGAAATCTGACTACATATTTACTCAATATATACAACTCAGGCACAGTCGGGGCCACAAGCCAGGTACTCCTAATGCCGATCCCTAGATCGGATAAATGGAGAGGGTTGCATCAGGAAGTGCATCCATCGTAACTAAAACATGTGGATCGCCATTAATGAGATTTCCATACTGGAAAATGTGTTAGAGGGCACCAAGAGAGAAGGACAGACAGGAGTATGATGGTGAGAGCAAAGATTTTAAATCTAGGGACTTTGACTGGTAAAGCGACAGAGCTGGCTGATATGGAGAATTTTGGTAAAGATGTATCACAGATATATCGTGTGTGCAGGAGACCAGATGAAAGAGAAGCAAGGCTGTGAAGCAAGGCTGTGAGCACTGGAGGTGGATACAACCTGTTATGTTGATGGGAAGGCAAGTGGAGTAGGGGTAGTCTTGAAGGAAGATATGTGAAGATTGTTGTAAAGGTGAAGAGAGCCTGGAAGTCAAAGGTGTGATGTTGAACCTTGTTGTATGCCCCAAAGTTGGATGTTAGTTAGAAGTGAAAGAATTATGAAGTAAGTTGAATTAAGTGGTAGAGAGTGTCGCCATTAAGGAAGAGATTGGCAAAGCAGACTTAAATGGATATGTAGGTGAAGGGAACAGAAGTGATGAGGAGGTAGTGTTAAGGAGAAGATAAGAAATGTAGATGGTGGTGGGTTTTGCAAAAAGAATGTGCAGCACATTATAGTCCAAACAGAAGCTGGCAGCCTATACACTGCTACAGTTTTATCTTCAGCACCATGTGTGGTGATGCCCAAAACCTGTCTTTATCAGACACAACGCAGTAAATTTTTAACTGATCAAGTCCTGTTTCTAGTCCATGTTTGAGTTAATAATTAGTCCAGCAACAGCGGTGCTGTTCCTTTGTTGTTGTTATTTTGCAAGTGTTTGTGTAAAGTTATATATTTTTCCACTGCATGCGTTTGCGTAGACTCTGGCTTTTCTTTTTTGTGAGCTTAGCTATTACATGCACAACATGAATCAGTACTGTAGTGAATATCCTTTCTTCATTTCTGTGTTCATATAAAGCAGTTATCAGCACCCAGTTCAAACCTGCTGCAGCTGTCCCGCTTGGGTTACAGGCTCAAGGGCTACTCAGAGATAAATGCTTCTGAATGGATTGTTCAAACTGGATCTGACAGACATTTGTGAGTCGATTCTATTGACACAAAAAACCTGGTGATACAAACAACTGGTGCAAGGCTTTCTGTGAAAAACAGTGTTACT